ACATAGTAGGTACTGAAAAAGTGTGGACTGAATGAGTAATAGAGTAAAAGAATGGAAAATTACCTGTCATGCAAATATCCTGAACAGAGAAGACAACATTTCTCAAAATGTGATCATAGAAGTTCTAAATCACATCACTAGGATGCTTGTTAAAATGCATATTCCTGGGCCTCATCTCAGGTCTTTTGAATCTGAATCTCTAAGAATGGAGCCTTGAACTTTGCGATTATAATAGCTTATCCAGAGATTCTTTTACATGCTGAAGTTTGAGAACCTGTACAGTAGGATATATGATGTACAGTGGCCTTAAAAAATAAATAAAAGCATGACCTTTTGTAAATAATTTCAACTCCCTGGGCTTCCTTTCCCTTCTCTGATAAGTGATTCTCTAATGTTCTCCTCAGTATCGTATGGGTTTTACAGCCTGTGCCACAGAATCAAGTAAGGCAGGGCTAACTGCTTCTTCAGAATGAAGAATGAAAAGTCTTCAGGCATGTGCTCCGTATGGATTTGGTTGCCTGGGGTGTATGGTCCCTGCTGCTCTTTGACTGACTCCAAACAATACACCGACTACTCTTATCTACTGGTCTTACGAAATAGTCAAAATGTTTTCCAGGCATCAGTTCTCTTTTCTTCATCTCTTTTGTCAGAGCTAGGCAGCTTTTAATCTGTTTTTCAGAGATAGTCTAGGGAAGGATGAAGTAGTTGGTATTTGTAAAACCAACACACATCATCCTGGTACAACCCTGGCCACCCTGTCCCTAGGACAATTTCCATCAGATGTGATGGATGGCTTAAAAACAGCCAACCAACCAAACCAACAAACAAAACAGTTGGAGTGGAAGAGAGGCCAATCAGACATTTAATTTTGTTCTTGTTTTCTATCATGTCAAGAGTGTCCATACTTCTTGACTAGATAAACACTTTTTAAAAAATTTTACACCTTTAAAATGTAGGCCATTATTCCATTCAGAAATCATTTTACCCCAAATATTATAAGACACTAAAGGTTTAAACACGTTACAGAAAAATTTGAACATAATTTCAGCCAACCTCAAGAAATAAATTACAGTTTAAAACATTTTCATTTGTTAGGAAGGATCACTATATAATACTTACCTATTTTTCTATGAAAAATATAGCTTCGTCAACTTTGCAAAAATTATATTCTTTCTTACAAGTCACTTCACCTTGTCACTGAATGCAAACACTCATATTAACTTCTGGCTTTGCTGCACCAGGTTCCTAAAGAGAAAAAATATTTTTTATTCATGTGGAAGAGGCTTTGATTTATATCATGAAATCTAAGGATAGACTGAAAGCTATCTGAATACAGATACAATGTCTTGAGAATTTTTGGATGCATTACAGTGTGTAATACTGTTTTATACGTAGGACTTTAATAATTTTTTATTTGAAAAAAAGTGAATGTTGTTATGAAACAATAATAATAGCTAATAAATATTAAGTACGTAGATAATAAAATTAAGTGTATGGGTACCAGCACTATTCTAAGTACTTTACAAATTAATGTGTTTAATAACCCTATGACAGTGTTACTTATCACCCCCTTTCTAGAGAGAGAGGCCAAGAAAGGCTAAGTAACTTGCTCAAGGTCACACTGCTAGTATGTGTTTAGTTAGGATCTTAACCCCGGCAGGCTGTCTCCAGAGCTAGTATTCCTGTTTTCAACACTAAAGGACTTAGTCTTTATTGTTTTAACAGAAAATTAAAATGATCCATATTTAACTGAAGAATAGATTTCTTCTGAAGTTAATGTGGAAAGGCCATTCCAGTACATCGTCTTGGCCTTTTCACTGTTAAAAGGTTCTCTGGTGCTTATTTGAAACAGATGTAAACACTTAAAACATCCATTCACATTGTGTTTCCCTGTGATTTGCCGGAATATGTCAGGTTGCCTCCAGGAGACCCATTTCTAAATGACTGTCTGATTTCATTCGCCTTGCTCCTCCTTTAAAGACCTGCAACTACATGGATCTCTTAAAGCACGGTTGCTCAGAGGTTTATTAGCATCTCCTGCCGACATTCTGCCTTTCTGTTGTAGAAACTCTAGGACAGACAGGAGAAGCTGGGTGGGTTTTTCAAAGCACGTTTCTTCAAGCAAGCCTTTTGGCAAGACAGGATGACGGGCTAATGGTAGTGCAAAGTTTATTCTCACGTACTTTTAACTCCAGCAGTTATTAGTTGGGAGTTACTTAAAAGCCTTTGCCTTTCAAATGGTTTGCTTTTTTTTCTAAGTTATTGTTCTTTAGTAAACTTAAGTTGCCTTTCTCTTTTCACAAATTTTGCTTTTTAACTGTTTATGTTTATTGCTTGCTCAATTATGTCAATTTTTTAAACTATATATATTTTAGAATTTTATATGCAAAGTTACAGGGACAGAAAAATGTCACTGTGAGTCCTCAGTGTGGGGCAGTGCCTCTCTCTGTTGTTCCTATGGATAGATAATTGACAGTATCATTTTAATGTGCTTTATTTCTATCTGTGGTAACAGGAATGATTTGGCATTGTCAGACAATGAGTGTTTTGGTTAATCAGAGTTTCTGGTTAATAGAAATATGATGTCATGGATTTTACAGAATCAAAAAATAATGAAAATATACTTTGCATCAATCAAAACATAGTATCTTTTTTGGTGATTCAGAAAGTCCTTCAGAATCTTGCTTTGTCAAACTTATCTCAATGTTTCTCAGTTAAAATCATATTTGGGAAATGTTTGAGAAACAAAGAAGATATGTTTGGATTATACTTAGATTTACTGAAATTATGTTTCTGAGTCATTTGAGCTAAGAATGGAGAACATTCTCACTCACGGTGAAGCTTCAGGCTGCTTCCATCCCAAAGTTCTAATCTGTAGAAGAAATGTAGCGAAAATCTCCTTATAATGAAATGCTTCTGATATTTTGACACCTGTAGCCCTTAAGCGGTACTACACCGTTTTGTTCCATGGCATCTTTTGTATATTTTTATCACTGTACTTGTACATTGTCTGGAAATTTCCTGTTTGTGTATTCCTCAAGTGCTGAGACTTACTCCTCTCTGTATCCTCCCTTCTGACCCTTGAATGGGATGGCAGATCTTCAGCACCCCACCGTGTTTTGTTTGTGTTGGAGATACAAATTGCACTATTTTATTTAATTTGGGTGCTCTTGAAAGAGTTTAAGGAAATGTTGCTTATTTATGGAGTTTAATTTTCAGGGCTAAATATAAATGGTGTCATGGCACCTTTGGAGTTCTTATGACGCTCACTTATTTTTGGTTTTGTGTAGATGAGTGTTGATCTGAGGACTTTTTTGTTAGTCTGGTTCATTGCTATGGTATGGAGTAGTATTTCATTTTTTTAGGTTGCTTATGACCTTGTTAAATAGCAGTCCAAAAAGCATGTGGCTTGTTTTGATTTTAACCAAAGTTACAGCTGCCTAGCTGTAAAGCAGTCAGTTTCTCTTATTATGACTAGTTCTTCAACTTGTACTGTTTTAAATTGCCTGCAATTAGCATATTTCAACCTTATTTTTAGGTTTAAATTGCAGTGTGAGAGTGTACTCTCCTCTTAGCTAATTAGTGCTATCAAGGAACAGTAGGTTACCTCATTAGTACCATGTGCATTTAATTAAAGAAGAGAAAATTGGAGTTAACCTCATAGTTAATATTTTCACAGAGTGCTACAATGCCAACACCTTCAATTGGAGTCACACCCCTGTGTATCTAATTATACACTGGTGCCAAATAGGGTTAGCAAGGATACTACAAGGCTGTTGACAAAATAATTTAGATGAAAATGTGTTTGTTGGATCCTGACAGTAAAATATAACTTGAACATTTTTTCCCTAGTCTTCATCTGCAAGCATCAGGTGACATACTTCTTCATAGGAAACTGAAGGAAAAGAATATTTTGGAAGCCATTTTTCCTGTTTGAATTAATATTGCTCTTATCTTGAATAAAATGGCATATAGTCACGTAAAGCATATACAATCCATTTCTTAAACAGAGCCCCTGAACTTCAGAGATGTATTTGAAAAGAATTATTTATAAGATGTAATATTTACATGCATCAAACCACTACAAATACTCCCTGACACCCCTACCACGTCCCTCCCTGCTTTTCTTCTTTTCTGATATACTTATAATTTCCCTTGTGTATCTTGTGAATGGGGATCATCCTTTCATATCATACATGAGGTCTAAGGATGTGTTGTCACATGGTCTATTCAAATGCAGTGTAATCCTTTTGCCCTTCAGACACAAATCTTTGAAATGTCTAATACTACTTAGGTAAAAAATGACATTCCGTGTCATTTATCAATAAATAATCACTTTTCTTTTACAGATAAAAATGCAAACTATATGTTTGAGTGTATACAGTAGTTTTCAATACAAATGGCACAATTCAACAGGTTTTAACAGAGATTATGGAGTTTGGCTCCATAGTCTTAACTATATATTTAATGACAATACTTGTGTTATAATAATGCATGGCCAAGGCAGTTTATTTAAAGAGATTCTTGTGATTGTTCTCACATTTCTTGACAAGACAAGATTTATGTTCATTTGTATTGGTTATAATTGACTACACATCAACAGTTAGCTTTTTCAAAAAGAGATAATTTAAGTTTTAAGGACAAATACCATCCCATACTGTAAAATCACAGTACCATTTAAATCTATAAGATTATTTATTAACATTAGCCTTAATTTTAGCTTAGAAATGGGAAAGGAGATGTCTAAGTCAAGATCATGGTAGATAATCAATAAATTTTTTGGTTAGTGGTTAATTTATTATGTTCAAATGTTCAACTTCACATCTGCCAAATTATTCCTATTTTTAAAATAGATGAGACAAAGATGGAATAGTCTTGTCTATCTTGACCAAGTTAATAGTCCAAAAAATATTTTTTAAGTGATAATGTACATTATTAGCATAAGCCTTAAGGTTGAAAAAAAAAAAAAGCCAACTCGTGATTCTCTTTGTTTAATCTAGGAATTGCTTCCAGAAACAAAATTATGTATCTGTGGCCACTCTTCTGGTGATGGGCATCCTCACAACACATTTGCAGTAAGTCACACTGGGCAATTAGAAATTCAGCTACTGAGCAAAGGCCATAGACCCAATCCCACTAGGTAGATTATCTGTGATTTTCTATTAGCTACTTCCTTCCATTGATGCAGATAATCAAGAGATGACTAATGTTAAGATACAGATGTAATTAGTTGGTTTTCTGTTACTTCTTATAATTTCACTTCAATTATGTTTCATCAGATGTACAGTTCACAGTTTCTACTTGAGTTGATGGCGTTAAAGTTTACCTTAAATATGTAAAGACATATGGCTGTACCACCACTATACTTTTCTTGAACTTTTAGGAATAATTTGATGAGATAGTCTTAATATGCAAAAAATAAATGAATAGAGATCATGGATAGATACAATCCATATTTTAGGGGATGTTCTGTGTTCTGCAAGTTACCATATAAATATGCCAAGGCCTTTTTTTTTTTACATATTCTGTCACCAGAATGTAATGTGTCTCTTTAAAATATAGTATTCAGTGAAAATTGCTTTTGTGACCCGATTCACATACCAGTTAGCCTTGGAAATGAATAGCAATCCTGAAGTGGCCCTTCAAGAATTTTTAAACAGAGCAACTTCATGTTTCTATTTAGCATGGATACTACCTGTATTCTTAAGGAATCTCTAAATATGTATGTCATATATTTTCATATATAGAATTTTTGCTTGTTTCCTTAAGAATTGATATACTTGCTTAGTTTCCATGGACTAGAGTATTCCTAAATTTACTCACCCAAAATTTATTTTTTTTACTATCCTCTACATAATATTTCATAATTTATAATTGATAGAACACAACACAACTAAGATTCTTATAAACAAATAATCAATGTTTTCCTGAATATAGAGGAAATATCTAGTTTCATACCTTGGTTAAAAAAAGAAAAATTTTTCTCAATAACAAATAGTGTCAAGTTGATATAGAATGGTGTTCTTTGTGGAAGGTATATAAACATGAAACCTTTTTTAAAATGTTAGATGCGAAACAAAAATAGAAGTGGAAACAGCAATAACGTACTATTTTGTGGAAATAGTAAATGCAGAGGATTGGTAATAAATGTTGTGCATAAAAGCAGGTTTCATAATGATCTGAAATTATCTAGTTTGGGATTTCATTCATTTTAATCCTAAAGTGTTTGCCCCTCCTACGCTTTCTTTGCAATTATAACATTTGAAAAAATAGCAAAAATAGTAGTGGTGAGATTTGCAGAAATGATGTAAATTTATGTGAAAGACTAAAATAATCTTAATTTCTAAATGTTCTCTGTATGTTTTGAAGGAACGTAAATTTAAGTTAAACTTCAAAAATGACTGTATATGTTAACTTAATAAAGAAGATTGGTCCAAAAATATACTTTTAAAAAATAGTGCATTAAAAATGGAACAGGCAGTATTCCTAATTGGTAATATTTTTTCCTAAAATAATCCCAATGGAAAAATTACTTTCATTAGACTGAAGAGTGAGCTGGCTTAACTACTAATAGTGTCTGTTCTTTATCTAAAACTACTTCTTCCATTAAAAAAAAATTATTCCTGTTCTACTGATATAAAAATAAATCAACAGCATCAGATCTTTATATTTTCACTGACGTATCTTAAGAATGAAAATGAGCCACAGAGAAATTAAATGACTCACCAGAGACCGTGTAATTCCTCAATAATGGCAAAGCTGAATTTATGGCCCAAGTTTGTGATCACCAATGTATTGGTCTTTCCAAAGGTATCCCAAATTGTTCATGACTGCCTTGAGTTTTGTGTTGAATGAGTCTGAGGTTGTTCCATTTGTCTGAGACTGCAGTTAGTCATCTAAGACAGAAGGAGTGATGAATTCACCAGGATGAATTAGTGAGGTCTGCTATGGCTGGTGGGGAAAGAGAGCATGGCAGTGCGTGGACCAGATGTTTGCCATCCTTGCAGTGCAACAAACTGAATACTTCAAATTAGTCACTGAGTGACTTTGTAAATGATGCTTCTTGGCTTCACAACACAAGGGAAACATTAGAAATTATTAAGTAGGTGCTTATTTTCCTTTATTGGTTACATTAGATATAAATTTTCTGCAAGCTAAAAAAAGGCTACATAATGTGATTTAAAATCAAGATGCAAACTAAAAAATACTATTTATTATTCCTAGTTGACAATTTCTATGTGATGGGCATGGCTGTCTCTTAGTATTTATTAAATTTTGTGAGTACCAGTATACCGGGTGGTACTCAACTAAGTCTGGAGCACCATGAGATTACTGGTGGGCTAAAAGGAAGAAAGATATAGAAAGGACGGGTAGGGGTACCTAAAGCCAGCCATGTTCCTTTATAATCTATGTAACTGGCATTTATAATAAATTGTGAATCATTGTAATAGTTCTCAAATTTTTGAGAGATCCTACATAATGCCCTATTAACGGATTAATTTAATATCATACATACTACTTCCATGGTTGATCAACTTTCATAGATAAAAAGACAAAATTTTTAGGCATGTGTTCCAAAGAGGCAGATTAAATTAATTTTCACTCCCTTTCCCTTCACTTAAAAAATAAAAATTCTATAAGTTTATTAACAAGCCTGAAGTAAAGTGCTGTAAATTTCAGGGGAAGAGAGTCACAATTACCAAATGTGGGTTAAAACTCAAAGTACCTTAAAGAAATAAGTAACGTTACATATTTGATAGTAAACATGTCTAAAGCTCTCCATCATACCATCCTCTTTCAGGTATTTACTGTATGAAGTTCCTAATAAAAGATGCAATAAAAATATGTTTCAGAGGAGTATTTTCTGGTCTTTTGGTATGCAAGTAGCCGTCAGACGTTAGCTGTCATCTGCGTATTGTGCCTCCTTATTATCACATTGTGGAACAGTAGTGGTACTTTTATGTACCACTAATAGACTATTTATTGTGCCTCTACTCATTCATTGCAATATTGGATAGTAGTAATTGTACTCACTTATATCATCTCTACCTGAAAATTGAAAATTGTAATCTTAAATTCTGTCTACCTGTTGTATTTAAAAGAAATGTTTGGGCTCCATAAGTTGTGAGTTTGATATTCTCAGAGTAACAATATAATATCCTTATTATAACTTTGAATGTTCTTGGACAAAGCATTAAGTTCTGGCTTTAGAGGACAAGAGTATGAGAGTATGAGTGCTTCATTGTGAGATTACTTTTCAATACTTGCTTTTCACATTCAGTTTTTTCAAATAGTGTACATTTAACTCTAATCTGGAAAAATCTTCACTTATTTGACTTTTCTTGCAAACTTTAGTAATAGGATAGACGCCTTTCTTTTTTTCTGTGATATACCAAACAGCTTTGCAAATGGCTAGCTCTGTCAAGATCCTAAACTTCGCAATCTTCGGCTTCCCTGCCAGGCTGTAGTAACCCCAGTTCACTCCCAATAGCTAGACCTTGTTGACACCTCATCTGCCCGAATGGCCTCATTAACACCTACCTGCAGATACTCTTATTGTTAGTCTTGCTTACAGGTTTTTACACCTAAGTGAATACTATTTTACATAGGTCTCTGCCTGTTAGCTCTAAGTGCTAAGGCAATTATGTTGAATGTTTAGAGTCTTTGTCTTTTGGGTCTTATTTTCAAAATCTTTGGCATTGGGTCAAGTGAATATTTTGAGCAACAAAATTTGTTGGACCTGTAAACTAAAAATGAGACTTGGCTGGTCTTGGTCCAGCTGGTTTATATCCATTCAAATTAAATTACATTGACTACATTGGATCTTTCCTTCTACAGATCTTTACTCTGTTATGATTGCCTCCTGAGTGTTTCGTTTTGATGGCAATTGTGGACTGGAGTAAATAAGAAAAGGGATAGTGATGATTTTTAAGAATCTCTTCTTTTCTATTCCAAATTTATCTCTCTTTTTAGGCTTTACATAAATTCTACCCAAGTAATAATGTCAAATAATCTATCCCATGGACTCTAGAATCAACTTTCTAGGTTGAATATTGGGCAAATTACTAGACCTTTTTAGCCTCATGCTCTCAATCTGTAAGATTAGGACAATAATAGTATCTACCTGTCTATACTATCTAATCCCATAGGGTGGTGATGGGATTAAATTTGATAACCTTGAAAAGTACTTAGCACGATGACTAACACATACGAAGTGTGCAATAGATGTTTGAGTCAGTATCTGTAGTAGCATCAGTATACTCTTGCTTGGACTAAAGAGGCAATTCTGTTTGACATAAATTTAAATATGTATTTGGTATTAACATTAAATAAGAGGCATTGGGCATTGTACCTTGGGTCATGACTAAGATGATGGAAATGTTCTTTACTGAGAAGAAATTCTTTACATTCATCAATTTAAGTTGAACACCGACTTATTCACTCACAAAAATCAGTCTTATCTAAATGGTTTCTGATTTGTTAGGTGGGAGATAGCTAAGTGGAAGAGAAAGAACCCTACCTCACCAGACCTAAATGATGTCCTTCTGGCAGCCAAGGAAAATTGTGGTTGAAGAAAGTTAGGAAAAGTGGTTGTCCCCTCCACTGACTGTATGCAACTAGAGCACATGAAAATATGAAGTTAGAAAATACATGTGGCAGTGCCAGGTTACCTCCAATGTCTTCCTTCTCTATTATAAACATATTGGCAGAGACTAACCAAGAGGTAAAGATGAATTACTACTTATTAGTAGTATTGATAATTTTACTAACATGCTGAAGATAATCAACCAGGGATAAAGTTGTGGTCATTTTTTTGGAGATTCCTTCCTATAAGACCCATATTACAAAATTTAACTCTTTGCTATTAGTGTAAACTTGTGTTAGTATAAATTTGAATTTATTATGAAGCAATACAAATTAGATTTCTTAATTCATCCTTTTCATTTTGAGTAGTTTTTATTTGCTTTATGATAGTATTGGTAGTAGAGTAGGTCCTTTGGTATGAAATAAACCTTAAGATAATTAAATGTTTCAAATACTTATGTTACAGCTGATTTTGTTAATGCCATAAAGC